TAATCTCATAAATCCCAATATGTCCATTGTCGGTCACCTCCGACCATTGTTGATATGAATCATCGCCGACCACCACCATCTGAACCACCACTGACCATCGTCATCTGAACCACCACCGACTACCATCAATCTGAACCACCTCCGAGCACCACCGATCTCAACCACCGCTGATCTGAACCGCCTTCGACCACTACTGATCTAAACCACTGGCAATCTAAACCACTGCCGATCTGAACCACCATCGATCTGATCTACTGTCGATCTGACCCACCGTCGATCACCGCCATCTAAACCACCATGGACCACCATCGATCTAAACCAATGTCGACCATCACCATCTAAACCACCACGGACCATCATCAATCTCAACCACCGCCAACTACTATCGATTTGAATCATCGTCGGCCATTGCCGATCTGAACCGCATCCAACCACCGCCACCTGAACCACTATGAATCACCATCGATTTGAATCACTATCGACCACCAACAACTACCACCGATCTGAATCACCACCGAACACCACCAGCCACCAACGATTTGAACCACGCTGACCACCTCCATCTGAACCATCGCAGACCACCATTGATCTGAACCACTGCCGACCATCGTCATCTGAACTACTGCGGACCTTCACCAATTTGAACCACCGTGGACCACCACCGATTTGAACCACTGTCGATTTAATATCGTCGTTTGGCTTATGGTTATATTTGGGTTGTGTATTTTATATTGTTATACATATTAAATAATTATTTTGTTAAAGTATTTTTAGTTTTTAAAAAAATTAAAATTTTCAAAAGGGCATTTTGGTTATTTACCAATATTTCATTTCAATTCTGAAGCTATATTCTGTGAACCAAACAGACATATTCTAATTTCTTAACAGACATATTCTAATTTCTTAACAGATTAAATTTCAATGTCTGTCAACCAAACAGGTAATCAAACCTGATAACATTCCATTCAAATTCCTTCAAAGTTAAATTCCTTTAACAAATTTCATTACATTCAAAAACATTATGCGAACCAAACGACACTTTAGAGAAGGTTTGCAAAATTGTAACTAAAGGATGCCTTTAGAGAAGGTTCACGTCACTAAACCCCATACATTTTAAAGGACATAATGCAATTGTTAATTATGTTAAGCATCACTACTCTCCGGTTAAGTTTCCATGCTTTGATAGTTTTGGTTTTAAGAAACGTTCAATTGAACGATCCTGGGGGTGTTTGCTTTGTATGTTCAGGATCCCAATCATCCTTTCAAAAAAAATATCAAGAGAAGTTATCTGAATTTGAAGACAAAAGGTAGGCTTTGAGATGTGTATTGTTCGATTTTTACTTGATCTTTCTTGTTGCTTAATTGTAGTAAAGGGTTTCCTTCTTTAGCCACATACTCATATGCATATATGGCATGTTGATATATAAGATGATGTTGATATATGTAATGCATGATATTGGTAATTGTATTTCAGGTATGAGATAGACATGGCTCTAGAATGCGTAAAGCTTACAGTCAAACGCACAGAGGAATTAGCGAGAATAATTTTTTTATATATCTATCGAGACAGATGGTCTATTTCCTGTTGAAGAATACTTTCCAGGTAAGATTTGATCATTAACCAAAAAAGAACTCATCTTTGTATTGTTTTGGTTTATTTCCTCTTGAAGAACACTTTCCAGGTAAGAAGCTAATCACTAACCAAAAAAGAACTCATCTTTGTATTGTTTTTCACCACTTTCCTCTTTGTTTATTAGGTCCAAGTTTGAGGTGCATTCAAATTCTATATGGTGGTTATGGGCTTAATGTGATCAAGGAATTAAGAATGAATATATCTCTTAGTATGCCGATAATATTAAGCCATCTAAAGCATAAACAAGAGGAATGGAGGATGTTCTCTTCAGGTTTCAATAAGCTTTGGAAACCAGTTTTCACTGCAAACCATCATACATAACTTGATCATCACAATGCCTATTTGCAGCAAGACTCAAAGTTCTTGTGTACTAACGGTAAATTGATCAGACCCTCATCACATTTTTCGTTTTCATTTACCATGAATGATTATCATTCATGATTTTTCCTTTTCGTGTTGTAGATTCGTTGGCTGAAATCAATGGCATTGGTGACAGGAGGTCTGAAGGCTCTAAGTTGGAATTTATGTTCTCTAATATGAACATCCATAAATTAAGACTTCTTTCAACTCTCAAAACAATCTTGTTCTGATATTTGTTAATCTGAACAACTTGATAAATTTATGAAGTTCTGGACTCCTTTTGTAGAACCCATGTTTGGTCGTCTTCTTCTTCAGCCTGCAAGATGCATAGATGACAACAAATATAGTGCAGAACCCAACATCTCCGATGAACATATTATGAATTTTAATGCATCGATTACTAAAAAACCAGAAAAAACTCGTGGGCAAGATGTACCAACAGTTTCCTTGAGTTTCTCACGAATGATATCCATTTTTCTTCTATTGTAGATTTAGAAAAAGGGGAATTTGCAGCATTAATGCACGACATGAGGAAGGTGTTTCAGAGAGTGAAGAAGTTGTTGATAATGTAGTAGAAACATCATCTAACAATTGTGAGAGGTGTTGTGAATGTCTATTAGTATACTAGACATTTTTATGTCCTATAAACCTGAATCCAATTTTGTTGTAGTGTCATCCTATTAAAACTCAATTTTGTTGTAATGTCAAGTCCTATTATTAGTTTATTTGACTTTGTACGAACAATTTATCATGTCATAATTCATATGTATAACTTGTTATGTTATCCAATTTCGTCATACCAACTTATTATAATAATTTTTTTACTCTATTCTTATAAATTTTATAAAACCTATAAACTTTCGGATCCAATTTTAATTTCCTTTCCCTTTTTTTCTTTCTCTTTTATGTTTTGACACTAAAAATATCAAAATGGTAATTTTGAAATGGAAATCAATAGAAATTAAAGTTTTAAATTCAAATAACACAATTTTATCAAACCATTGTTTTATTTCCTTAAGTTTCGAGTCATGCGATATTTTTCATCTTTCATTCAACAACTTTTATAAGTACGACAATAAAACGAGAAAAAGACAAAATTAGATAAATGATCAAGATATTGTTAAGAAACTGTTACAACACATTTTAACGATGAAATGAAAGACCAAAAACGTTAGTTATTCTGCACTTTATTGGCAACATTTGTTTTCTTCTGGTTTTAGTTTTATGTTTTTTTCTTATAAAATTAAATATGACAAAAAATAGGGTTTTGACTTTTTCCATTTTTTGGAAAATCTAACAAAAAATTGAAAATAACAATTTCCTAATTGAAAATTGGTTTATATATGTTTATAAATTATTATAAACTCTAAGTTCAGTTTCACAAATCATGTTTGGTTTTTGTTAACTAAATTCAAACCAAATAAAATGAGCGTGTGTGAATTTAATTAATCATATATATATATATAGGAGCGTTCAAATAAAAACTTGCCCCATTTGTGTAAACCGTGTAAACCAATCTCATCCATCCATTTTCTTGATCAATGACTAAGATTAGTTTACTTTATTTTAGGAAATTAAAAATTAAAAAATAATAAATATTTATTTTATTTCAATACTAAGAGCAAAATTGGTAAACAAAGNCGTACGTATTAATAGAATTCAAATTTTATCAAACGTTTTGGGAAAACTTTCTATTGTAAAACGGAAAGAAGATAATGCTAACTTAATCCCTAAATTAGAGAGTTTAATCAAAGTCAAACAAAGGATAAGTTACTAAATTAGGGGCTGTTACCAAACGTTTACCCAGGTAAGTGCTTATCGGCAAAAACAGTATCACTTACTTACTGGATAAGACTTTAGTCCACTAGAACAGTATCGTATGCAACAATTTACCTGTTAAGCGCTAACCTTGGTAAGAGTCRTTGCACTCACTTACCGGGTAAGACTTTCGGTCATTGCCTTTGCTCTTACCAGGTAAGATTCTTGGTCTTTGCCATATTCATCAGGTAAGGTAATGTGACTTGGTAAACTCTTACTGGGATAAGCGTTTGGTAAACAATCCCTTAGTGATCCCAATGAATCTCTAGCTTGAACACTCAAGGGTGTTCTTCGTGTACAAGACAAAATTCTCAAAACATACAAATATAATGATTTACCAACTAAATATGCATCCAACACAAAGAAAAGAAACAGAGTTGGAACACAACACCAAAATGTACGTGGAAACCCAAGTMGGTAAAAAACCACAGATGGGGCAGATCACCGAGAGAAATCCACTACGAATGTTACCAACTCCTATATTTTGATACACCATTTAACACTTTCTTCTTTACGCATACTTTTTTTAGTAGTAATCACATTATCTTTTACGAAAATAAATATTTGCATCTTTATGTTATCAATAAAATTAAGACACATCAGATTTTTATTTATCTTAAATTTATTTTATTTAAATTTATATTATTATGTTATTAGTGGATAGAAATAGAAAGAGAGAATTTGGGATTAATTTGATTTAATTATTAAACTAAGGGGCCGTTTACTAAACGCTTATTCGGTAAGTGCTTACCGAATAAATTTCCTTATCGGATGAACATGAAAAGGGCCAAGAATCTTACCCGGTAAAGGCGATGAGAAGGATGGAGAGTCTTACTCAGATAAACGCTTACCCGGTAAATTGTTACATTCAATATGTTTTGATGTATTAAAATCTTACTCATCAAAATAAATTATAATGTTAGTAATTACTTACGACACTAAATACTAACCAATCATAAAATAATATTAAAAGGTCTAAGAAGGAATTTATATTGTTCTTTAGGCTGAAGGCTATTTGTGGGCCGCACTGAACCATTCCATCCTGATGTCACCTCCAAGATTTCGTCAACTCAGACCATCTCCGATCCTTCCTCCACCGGCCGGCTCATTCGAATTCATTCCCCTCGGTTGCTTGCTATATATATATATATATATATATAAGCTTAACAACCTCATGAGCTGTAATACGATGCAATCAGCCATGTCTAAATTTAAGCTTTCTTTGTCTTCTTTCCGACTATGTCGACCTAAAAGATCTTCGTCGGCGGCCACCCATTGCTTCTCTCCTTTCAACCCTAAAGTTCTCGAGATCGCTTACCCAACTACTCCCTCACCACCTCCCACCACCCCTAACTACCAACCCCAACTCTCCAAATCCAAAACCAAACTTCTCGTCACCACCCCCGACATGAATAACTCTCCGGTTTCTTTTGAGCCAACAGATAATGTTAACAACTCCGGTCACCGGAAAATGATAAAGAAGAAAGGTAAGAAGGAGAAAAACAASGTGGGTTCTTCTGATGAAAGTGGCTGCTTCAGCAACAGCGACGGTGAAACCGAAAGTGTAAGCGGCAGCTTTGATTCATCTAAGAAGCTGGAGACTGTTGGGTATAAATCTTTGGGTGGCGCCGCCGTAGATGAGRCGGTGGTGTACGTTAAGAATGGTGGTGGAAGGATGAAGAAGATGGAGGAAAGAGGGGGGCTGATAACGGAGAGCTTGACGGTGGTGAAGTGGTCGGAGAAGCCGTATGAGGATTTCAAGAAGTCGATGCTGGAGATGATTTTGGAGAAAGAGATGATGGAGGCTAAGGATTTGGAGAAGCTGTTGCAGTGCTTTCTGACTCTGAATTCCAGACATCACCATGCCGATATCGTCGCAGCGTTTACGGAGATTTGGGAGCTCTTGTTTGTTTGAGTCTGCATGCCCTTCGATCCCTTCTGATTGAGGATGAAGAAGCAGCCATGGATATCAATATAAACTTGTTCTTCCATTTTATATCTCGTCTTAAAATCCCTAGACTCACCGAGTCGTTAACCAATAAAATTAAGATACATCATATGTTATATATTTAAATTTATTTAATTTAAGATCATAATGAAAATGAATGAAATGTGAGAATTTAGATGGTAACATTGAATCCATTAGTTTGTACCAAACCTTTTTCCAAGCTATTATTTGGTTTTCAGAAATGGAATGGAATGGAATCGAATCTGAGGGATTTGAAATTGAAAGCCATTCCAATCCCATGTTTGATTTCTTGGATTTGAAATCCAAGGATTCCTTTGAAATCCCGTAAGTGATGGATTTTGAAATCCTTTGGAAATGGTTGGTATTTCAAATCCAAATCCTGTGGGATTTCATAAATGCATATTGCCCTAATTTTAGTCGCCTCCTTCCCTTTGGAAACCCTTTGAACATCTACTTCCAAAAGCTCTTGAATATCAATGACCTGGTCCAAAGCCGTGCACRGTATGAATCGAGTGTGTAATTTGATGGCCGCGGTTTCCATCACGAAGTTCAAGAGGGAGCGGATATTGAACTAGTAACTGGCGGTTTTACGTTGTGCCTTCCACACTTCACCGTCGAAGTTGAAGATGCCACGGCCGAGGAAGTCTTCAAGGAGAGAAATGAGYCGGGTTCCCTTTGGGTAGTTATCAGAGTTGGTCTTGAGCATGTATTCGACGTTGGCAGGGTTGGCAGTGATGATGTCGTTGATTTTCTGGGATGGTGGAAGTCGGCGGTGTTGGTTGGACAGTGAGAGAGGACTTGGGGTGCTCCATTCAAGAAAACAATGCGATTTAGGAGAAATTCGGATAAGGTTCCTAGTATTGGGTAATTTTTGAAGCCGATTGGAGTGGCGTATTTGGATTTTGGGAAGAAGAAACAGTAGATGAAGAGAAAGATTGAGAAGATTAAAATGATAGGTTGAAGAGAATCGATATCCATATTCATTCATGTATAAGATGATGGATTTTTGTAATTTTGGGAATCTYTRATGATGATGAATCAAGAAATTGGGMATTATTATAAAAAAATAAATCTCAATTCAAATCATACAAACCAAACATGATTTATAAATAAATGGATTTAAAATTCATTCTAAATCCTACAAACCAAACACAATAAAAGATTMTAMATCCAATTCAATCCAAATTCCTTCATAAAATCTAAATCCCTAAAAAAATCATGCAAACCAAACGCACCCTAATATATGGGTTTTCTTAAGAACATGATTGTATCAAAATGATCTAATTGCATACGCACTCAGTGTTCATAGTAACTCAAAATGGTAGGATATACACTGCCATTTTTTATCTTGATCATAATAATTACGAATTATAACATTAGACCCTACAAAAGGAATACATATAAATGAAATGCTTTTATTCGTATTTCATATCCCACATCGTACCAATGTCAAAATAATCATATATAGAACCAATCTTAAGACGGTAAAATTTTGTCCCACATCGAATTGTTATAATTTATTTAATGAGAATCTACTTATTAAATATCATTAACTTATGCCTCTAATTTCCGAACATAAGTACTTCTAATACTGATGTATAGAAGAGGAAAACATGTGGGTTTTTTCGACGTGGCAACTCGTCAAACAAGGTAATTTACGACCTTTTTCTTTCACGTTTTAGTTTATTTCATATTATTGTTGATTTATGTTTAACTTTTTCTTTGTTTTACATTATTATGTTAAACTTTTTCATTATTTATTTTCATGTCTTAAAAAAATGTTTATTCTTTCATTATTTATTTTTCATTATGGTTTTAGGTTACTTATCAAGAGCAAGATTTTCTCATCGTCAATGTTCATTGCATTTCAAGARGTAAGGAATTCACATGAAGGTAACCTTAATGTTTTYGTTTATTCTCTAAGTTTATGATAATTGTTCTAACTTAACATRTGTACATGTCATATTTTGGAAAGTMAMACGTKTAAAAGTTAAAATCGGAACTCCCCKATCYCCTACAATCCCTTAAAAACCTTTTTGATTATGGGTACTTAAAGTTAATCTTTAGTGGACGTTTGGTCCACAAATTCTGAAGGAATCTGATGGAATWKGAATATTGAATTTCATTGACCAMATTTCATTTCTTCGTTCGGTTCATTCTTTTTCACAAAAGGAATCTTCAAAATCCTACAAATTCCACAAATCGAGGAATTTAACATTTCTTAACAACTACATGATATTTTAATGGAATAGAATTCTCTATCTTCATAATATAAAATATGTCTTTAACCCAATATAATTTAATCTCATAAAACCCAATATATCCATCTCCGACCACCACCATCTGAACCACTGCCGACCATCGTCATCTGAACCACCGCCGACTACCACCGATCTGAACCACCTCCGACTACCACCGTTCTCAACCACCACTGATCTGAACCGCCGTTGACTACTACCGATCGGAACCACTGCCGATCTAAACCACTGCCGATTTGAACCACCATTGATTTGTTCTACCGTCCATCTGAACCACCATGGACCACCGCCATCTAAACCACCATGGACCACCATCGATCTCAACCACTATCGAACATCACCATCTGAACCACCATGGACCACCATCGATCTGAACCACCGTCAACTACTACCGATCTGAATCATCGTCTGCCACTGCCGATCTGAACCACATCCAACCACTGCCACCTGAACCACCAYGGATCTGAACCACTACAAACCAYCAGCAACTACCACCGATCTGAATCACCGCCGAACACCGCCAGCCACCAACGRTTTGAACAACCACCAATCTGAACCACTGCCGCCACYATCGATCTGAACCATGCTGACCACCTCCATATSAACCATTGCGGACGACCATCGATCTRAACCYTGTCGACCACTRTCATCTGAACTACTGCGGASCTTTACCAATCTGAACCACCGTGGACCACCTATTTGAACCACCGCTGACCACTGTCGATTTAGTATCRTCGTTTGRCTTATGGTTATATTTGARTTGTGTATTTCATATTGTTACACATATTAAATAATTATTTTGTTAAAGTATTTTTAGTTTTTAAAAAAATAAAAATTTTCAAAAATGGCATTTTGGTTATTTACCAATATTTCATTTCAATTCCAAAGATACATTTTGTAAACCATGCCAGATTCTAATTTCTTAACAGATTACATTMTAATGWCTGTCAACSAAACAGGTGGTCAATCATGACAACATTCCATTCAAATTCYTTTRAAGTCAAATTTCTTTAACAAATTYCATTTCATTCAAAAATATTCTGCRAACCAAACGTCACCTTAGAGAAGGTTTGCAAACTTGTAACTAAAGGATGCCTTTAAAGAAGGTTCACGTCACTAAACCCCATACATTTTAAAGGACATAATGCAATGGTTAATTATGTTAAGCATCACTACTCTCCAATTAAGTTTCCATGCTTTGATAGTTTTGGTTTTAAGAAACTTTCAATTAAACGATCATGGGGTGTTTGCTTTKTATGTTCAGGCTCCCAATCATCCCTTCAAAAACAKATATGAAGATAAGTTATCTGAATTTGAAGACGAAAGGTAGGCTTTGAGATGTGTATTGTTCGATTTTTACTTGATCTTTCTTGATGCTTAATTGTAATAAAGGGTTTCCTTCTTTAGCCACATACTCATATGCATATATGGCATGTTGATATATAAGATGATGTTGATATAGGTAGTGCATGATATTGGTAATGGTATTTCAGGTATGAGATGGACATGGCTCTAGAATGCGTAAAGCTTACAGCCAAACACACAAAGGAATTAGCGAGGATAATTATCTTWTATATCTATCGAGACAGATGGTCTATTTCCTCTTGAAGAATACTTTCCAGGTAAGATGTTGATCATTAACCAAAAAAAGAACTCATCTTCRTATTGTTTTGGTCTATTTCCTCTTAATGAACACTTTCCAGGTAAGAAGCTARTCACTAACCAAAAAGGAACTCACACTTTGTATTGTTTTTCACCACTTTCCTCTTTGTTTATTAGGTCCAAGTTTGAGGTGCATTCAAATTCTATATGGTGGTTATGGGCTTAATGTGATCAAGGAATTAAGAATGAATGTACCTCTTAGTCTGCCGATAACATTAAGCCATCTAAAGCAGAAACAAGAGGAATGGAGGATGTTCTCTTYAGGTTTCAATAAGCTTTGGAAACCAGTTTTCACTGCAAACCATCATATGTCAYTAGATCATCACAATGCCTATTTGCAGCAAGACTCAAAGTTCTTGTGTAATAACGGTAAATTGATCAGACCCTCATCACATTTTTCGTTTTCATTTACCATGAATGATTATCATTCATGATTTTTCCTTTTCGTGTTGTAGATTCGTTGGCTGAAATCAATGGCATTGGTGACAGGAGGTCTGAAGGCTCTAAGTTGGAATTTATGTTCTCTAATATGAACATCCATAAATTAAGACTTCTTTCAACTCTCAAAACAATCTTGTTCTGATATTTGTTAATCTGAACAACTTGATAAATTTATGAAGTTCTGGACTCCTTTTGTAGAACCCATGTTTGGTCGTCTTCTTCTTCAGCCTGCAAGATGCATAGATGACAACAAATATAGTGCAGAACCCAACATCTCCGATGAACATAWTATGAATTTTAATGCATCGATTACTAARAAACCAGAAAAAACTCGTGGGCAAGATGTACCAACAGTTTCCTTGAGTTTCTCACAAATGATATCGATTTTTCTTCTATTGTAGATTTAGAAAAAGGGGAATTTGCAGCATTAATGCACGACATGAGGAAGGTGTTTYAGAGAGTGAAGAAGTTGTTGATAATGTAGTAGAAACATCATCTAACAATTGTGAGAGGTGTTGYGAATGTYTATTAGTATACTAGACATTTTTATGTCCTATAAACCTGAATCCAATTTTGTTGTAGTGTCATCCTATTACAACTCAATTTTGTTGTAATGTCAAGTCCTGTTATTTGTTTATTTGACTTTGTACGAACAATTTATCATGTCATAATTCATATGTATAACTTGTTATGTTATCCAATTTCGTCATAGCAACTTATTATAATAATTTTTTTACTGTATTCTTATAAATTTTATAAAACCTATAAACTTTCGGATCCAATTTTAATTTCCTTTCCTTTTTTTTCTTTCTCTTTTATGTTTTGACACTAAAAATATCAAGATGGTAATTTTGAAATGGAAATCAATAGAAATTAAAGTTTTAAATTCAAATAACACAATTTTATCAAACCATTGTTTTATTTCCTTGAGTTTCGAGTCCTGCGATATTTTTCATCTTTCATTCAACAACTTTTATAAGTACGACAATAAAACGAGAAAAAGACAAAATTAGATAAATGATCAAGATATTGTTAAGAAACTGTTACAGCACATTTTAACGATGAAATGAAAAGACCAAAAACGTTAGTTATTCTGCACTTTATTGGCAACATTTGTTTTCTTCTGGTTTTAGTTTTATGTTTTTTTCTTATAAAATTAAATATGACAAAAAAAAAGGGTTTTGACTTTTTCCATTTTTTGGAAAATCAAACAAAAATTTGAAAATAACAATTTCCTAATTGAAAAATGGTTTATATATGTTTATAAATTATTATAAACTCTAAGTTCAGTTTCACAAATCATGTTTGGTTGTTGTTAACTAAATTCAAACCAAATAAAATGAGCGTGTGTGAATTTAATTAACCACATAAATAAATATATATATATATATATATATATATATATATATATATATAAATAGAGAAATCGATTAAAATAGTGAATCTTTATAACTAATTTTATTTTTTGGTTACTTTTCAATTGTATTCTCATTTTAATCAGAGTTTATGTAAATGTCTTATGTATTTGTATAAACTCGATTTTTAGATTATAAAAATATCTATATAAGGATTTAAAGTTCTGGATAAAGACTGTTATTTTGAAAAGAGACTCTGAAAAGTGACTCAAAGGTTATTTTGATCGATGAGATTCACTATTTTGGTCAATTTCCTATACAAATATCATATACTTCATAAAAAGGTAACGTCAGTTATGTTATAATAAATGTACTAATCTTAATTCATTATTACTAGACAAATAAGTACACCAAGTTAAGGAAAATGTATTTTGCACCATGTTTCTTTCGTTTTTTTAGTGACAATCTATACGAAAGGTATCAGACATCTATATCTATACTATATTATAAAGCATTTGACTAAAACTCTTAAAACTCTTAAACTCTTGAAAACTCTTAAACCCGTTAATCCCTATCCGATTTCATCCCATCTCTGAATTCGTGTAACTAACTGCAAATAAACACAATCAAATATATGATAAACATCTCATTTTAAATATAAAAAATCTAAAATATAATTAG